TTACTATTATTACAAAAGCAAATGTTATCAATACTGTTGTTAATATTATTAGTTTTATCCTTATTATCATTGCTATTGTTGATTATTATAATCATTATTCCCGCTATTGTTATCCATATCCTTATATTTGTTTCTATTATCATTATTATTATTATCATCTTTATTATCATTGTTATCATTATTACCATTATTTTATAATAATAGTAATAACAATGATAATAATAATGATAATAATAATAATAATAATAATAATAATAATAATAATTATTATTATTATTGCTATTATTATTATCATCATTATTATTATCATTATTATCATTATCATTACCAATATTATTATCATTAGTATCATCATTTTTATTATCATTATCACCATTATCATTACTATCATAATCACTATTATTATTATTGTAATTATGATCATTATTATTATTATTATTACTATTATTATTATTATTATTATTATTATTATTATTATTGTAATTATTATCATCATTATTATTATTATTACTATTATTATTATTATTATTATCATTATTATTGTTAATATAATTTTTATTGTTATCCTTATTACTACTGTAATTATCACTATCATTATCATGATAATTATCATTATCATTATTGGTATTGTTATTATATTTATCATTATTATTATAATTATTATTACTGTTATTATTATTATCATTATTATTATTATTATTATTATTATTATTATTATTATTATTATCATAATTATTATCATTTTTATTATCATTATTATCATTATTATTATTATTATATTATTACTATTATCATTATTATTATCACCATTACTATTATTATTATTATTGTTATTATTGTTACCATCATCATTATCATCATATTTTTTATGATGATGGTGATTATTATTATTATCAATGTTATCATTGTTATTATCATTCATATTTCCGACTCTCACATATCTTCTATTTTCACCTGTAGCGAGAACACACACACACACACAAACACAAACACACACACACACACACGCACACACACACACACACACACACACACACACACGCACACACACACACACACACACACGCACACACACACACACACACACACACACACACACACACACACACACACACACACACACACACACACACACACACACACACACACACATACACACACACACTGAGCACCATGCACACGCATGAGATACACTTATAATGCGCTTATGTACTCACGGTATACAAACACAATGAATACATAAAATACGTATGCGCACATGTCTAGTATTCACATTTGCCAAAGAATAGCAGAGCAAATATTCTCTTTACAGCCCCCGATAACAGACAGAGGCATGTAAATAACACACACCTATACCATGTAAACCTCAATACATGTGCATGCAGGCGCTGGTATATTTCGTTATGAGTATGCTTTGATAGGGTGATGTATTAAATTTCCGAAAACGATTGGAAAAGAAAATCAAATTGGGACAAATAATCTGATTTAGCTTTGCATCAAAACGTATTCAGGGAATGATACATCTATATTTTATCAAAACGTGCGATGTTGTGGCAAAAGCTAGAGAGATATAGAGGGAGACATAGATTGATAAATGTAAAAACAGACAGATACATAGAATGAGGGAGAGAGAGAGAGAGAGAGAGAGAGAGAGAGAGAGAGAGAGAGAGAGAGAGAGAGAGAGAGAGAGAGAGAGAGAGAGAGAGAGAGAGAGAGAGAGAGAGGGAGGGAGGGAGAGAACTTTTATTTACTAAGCTCCCTCCCGACCAGGCTAATAACAATGCCCCATTGATCCAGTCACTAAACAAATTCATAACAACGCCTCAGCAGTCAGTGGGTGTATCACACGCGTGAACTGGCCATCGCCTGGCCATGACCTGGCACTATGCACAGCAGTATGCCAGGTAGCCTATGCATCATATCAAGCAATGCCAGGGATTTTCAGACGAACATAGGGGATTTAAGATATAGATTTATAATCCCACACAATCCTGACATCATTGCTACCGTTGAGACATTCCTCGATCCTGATGCCCCTGCCACCTTTGGGAAAGTGAACGGCTACACACGCTGGCACCGACGCGACAGGGCATTTGGCACCTTTAGTGGCATCGCTGTCTGCTTTTGTGATTTCTGTGGACACCCCTGAAATGATGTTCCTTAAGATTCACGGAGAATCACCCATGTGTGTATACACGCCTGTGTGCGTGTGCTAAAGGCTCCAGTGGCTACCCTTACCTCTCTACAGTTACACCTTGATGCTCTCCTACAAGCAGATGAATGCAGCCATGCAATCCTGTCGGCGACCTAAACCAAAATCTTGTGGCCAGGACATTCGATGCGTTGCTGACAGTGCATAGGTTAACAAATCATGTGGATTTTGCCGCCCACATTTCAGGGTCCTCACTTGACCCTGTCATCAGTGACCTCAGCCCCGACATAATTACCTGTAGCCAACAGGGGACTGTTGGATCCTCCGACCACTTTACTGTTCACACAGGTGATAACAAAAGTGGATAGAGATGAGAGTACAATTAGCTCTGGAATAAAGGCAAGTGGGCCAGTATGCACCACAAGCTAAGACAGGTGAACTGGGATAAAATATTGAGTGGCGATATCAATGACCAGGTATCTAATATTAATGACGTCTTATCAACACTACAGGGACGTTTTATACCTAATCAGAGATACAAATGCAAAGCAGAACAACCATGTTCACGTGAACGTAGGGGACATGTTTGCAGAGAAACATGCTTACTAAGCCGCGGGATGATGCGGTAGGGTGGCCAGTTCCTTTCCGCCCCGACTTTGACCCCAACATGCTGACGTCAGCATATCAGTACTCATTCACAGCTGAGTCGACTGAGAGGGGCGGCGGCCGGGCGCGAACCCAGGACCTTGCGATTGCAAAGCCAGCGCTCTACCACTGAGCTATGCTGAGCTGAGTTGAGCTATCTTTCAGACACGAATAAATCTATGGGTGGGGACCAGATTAGTCTCCGTCTGCTCAAAGGTTGTGCTGACCAATTAGCAGAGCCCCTGTGTAGGCTTTTCAACAACTGTTTGCAAAGGAAGCAGTGGCCTTGTTTGTGGAAATCTGCTCGAGTAGCAGTGATCCATAAAAAATCTGCAGCGACGGATCCTAACAATTATAGGCCCATATCTCTACTATCTGTTATTAACAAGATATTTGAAAGTATAATTACTGAAAAACGCATTAGGCACTTCAACGGCCACCGATT